AATGGTTGTTGTGGGTTTTTCGGGCTCTTTAGCCGTGTTCTGAAGGTTGTTCTTCCTAACGTTTCGCCAGTCTCTGTGGCTGGCATCTTCAGAGGACAGCAACCTGTGCTCTGGTGTAGTTGGCTTGGGAGTGCAGCATTTATGGCTGTGAGATAGGCTTTTGTCTTTTTCTGTAGATGGGTGATTAGTGTGCATTATTGTGGGTGTATTGTTGTGCTAAGGAGAAGAGATTATTTGTTCCTGTGGTTGATGGGTGTCATTAGCTGGTCTTTTGTGTGTAGTGATCCCCTGTCCTTGTGGCTGGGTAGAGTTTGTTGACCTTTTACATGCTGTATTTTTGAGAGCTGGGAGCCAAGTTTTGTTGAGCTTCACACTTTCCTCTTTTTTGTTGAAGTTTTGCTGGTGCATGTGGATTTCAATGGCTTCCCTGTGCAGTCTGATGTAGTGATTGCTGGTGTTGTCCAGTATTTCAGTATTTTGGAATAGAATTTCATGTCCAGTTTATTTCAGGGCTTGTTCAGCTCCTGCAAATTTTTCTGGATGTTTTAGTCTGCAGTGTCTCTCATGTTCTTTGATTCTGGTGTGGATGCTTCGTTTTGTGGTTCCAATATATACCTGGCCACAACTGCAAGGTATCTGGTATACTCCTGCAGTGGTGAGGAGGGTCCCTTCTGTCCTTTGCTGACCATAACATTTGTTGTATTTTTGTGATGGGCTTGAATACTGTTTGTAGATTGTGTTTTTTCAAAAGTTTCCCCATGCGGTCCATGACTCCTTTGATGTATGGCAGAAATACTTTATTTGTGGGTGGCTGTTTTTCTTCTTCAGTTCGGTGTTGTTTTCTTGGTTTGATGGCTCTTGTGATTTCATTTTTGGAGTAGCCATTTGCCTGTAAGGCCCAATTCAGATGATTGAGTTCAATGCTAAGAAACTGAGCTTCACAGTTCCGATTTGCACGGGCTACCAGTGTTTTGATTATGCTTCTTTTTTGCTGTGGGTGGTGGTTGGAGTTTTTGTGTAGGTACCCGTCTGTGTGGGTGGGTTTTCTGTAGACTTTGTGTCCCAGTCGGAGGTCAGTTTTGTGTAGGACCATGACATCTAAGAACGGGAGTTGGCCCTCTATTTCCTTTTCCATGATGAAATTAGTATTTACATTTCCTTTTCTTTTAAAGGTTAAGTTTTTTATAAGTTTCATTTGGACCTTTAAAAAAAGAAGCAACTGACAATTTCTGGGAGGAAGCTTTCCATTTGTCTTTTTTTTAAAAGTGGTGCAGTTCATATTCTCTGCCTTATCACACACTTTAAAAAAATCCTTACTCTACAGCAGTGGTCCCCAACCTTGGGCCTCCAGATGTTCTTGGACTTCAACTCCCAGAAATCCTGGCCAGCAGAGGTGGTGGTGAAGGCTTCTGGGAGTTGTAGTCCAAGAACATCTGGAGGCCCAAGGTTGGGGACCACTGCTGTAGAGTAACTCCAGGGAGCTATAATGATTTTGCCAGTATCCTGAAGTGATTGTCTTATTAAGTCACTTCACAATATCGGCAAATTAGAGGAAGGCTCACTTTTGGTCCATTTCCATCAATCACATCTGCTGGAAATGGACCAAACCAGAGCAAGCCTACTTGCACCAAAAAGTAGAAGTTGCTGACAGAGGCTGAAAAAGTGTGAGTAAGGATGCTCTGTGGACAATTAGGTATACTCCACTGATTACAATGAAAGAATTGGGCATGCTTAGCCTTAGGAAAAGAAGACAGAGGGGTGATATAATAATGAATGAATGAATGAGCTTTATTATGGTCACTGACTAGCAGATATAACCAAATGTAACTATGACACAAAAATACAATGAAAAGTAGCATAAGGTAGCAATAATAATATCACATGTACACAGCCTGTTACAATATAACTAAATTAGATGGAGCCTTCTTAGTTTCACTGGACTGAGGAGATCAGCAAATAAATTCAGTAAACTCTGTTCCACCTCCAGTCTCATTGTCTTAAGTAGTGGAGCATATAGAATATAGGGTGGCCAGTACACATTATTACTAAAGCATTACTAAACATCTAGCTTTGCCTTGATGGGTGCACGGAGGGAATAGCGACACTTCATTGCTGCTGCACAGAACTTTGCCACTGCTATGATTATTTCAGACATCTTGTCCGAGAGTAAGAGCATGGCATAAAATTCTCTGGAACTCCCTTGAAAGTGTTGTAATATTGACTGGAGGAGATCCCTTGGAATGTCTCAATATCTCAAAAGAAGGAGCACTTTAAGAGGACATGATCAACACTTTCAATCTCCGCCTCATTGCAAGGACATAATAACACTTTTCAAATAATTGAAAGGCTGTCATACAGAGGATCAGGCAGGATCTCTTCTCATTCCTGAGTGCAGGGCACACAACAATGGGCTCAAGCTGCAGGAAGCCAGATTTTGATGGAATGTTAGGAAGGACCTCCTAACTAGAGATGGGGGCATTTGTATACGAATACCCCCACACAGGTAGACATAAAGAGGGTCCAGCCCCCTGGGGGAGGACCATCCACTCACCTATGCCATACTCTTACTTTCGGACAGAAAGTCTGATATAACCATAGCAGTAGCAAAGTTCTGTTGCTGCAGGGTCCACGCTCCCTTCCAATTGCTCCAGAGCTCGCAGTCTGCAAGCCACTCTTCAACCTTGCAGCGAGTCTCATCCTCCCACCTCCTGTCAGGAGTGGCTTGCAGACTGCGAGCTCTGGAGTGATAGTAAGGGAGTGCAGCGCCTGCAACAACAGCGGAAAGCGAGTGGATGATCCGGCCCCAGGGGGCTGGACCCTCGTTATGTCCACCTGTGCAGGGGTATTCATATTTGTATATGAATATAAATACCCCCATCTCTACTCCTAATTGTTGGAGCAGCAAGACTACGGAACCAATTACCTCAAGAGGCGGCGAGTGCTCCAACACTGGAGGCATTAAAGAGAAACTTAGACAACCACCTGGCAGATACCCTTTGATGTATATTCCTGCATTGAGCCAGGGGGTTGGACTTGTTGGCCTTATAGGCCCTTTTGAACTTCAGTATTCGATGAATCTATGATTCAGAATCATGTGATGGCTGTCAAAAGGAGCAAATCAACCTCTTCTCACAGCAAGTGGGAAATAGCAGGCTAAATGCCTGTCTGGTTGCACCCTCATTTACAGTTACTCTGCTTCTCTTTTTTCCATAAGCAGGAAGTGAGCAATATCCAACTACATGATACTTTGTCTTTTAACCAAGCTGACATTTGTATCTTGGCTGAGTTAGAAGCCATAACCAGAATTCCTGGTTCAAGTATAATGGGGGGACCTAATTATGTTTCCTGATTTTCTCACATAAAGGAGGACCAGAGCAGCCATATGTGGATTCTTGAAATGTATGAAAATCCTGGCTTACTACATTGAGATCTTAATATTCAAACTGAGCATGTGGTGTGAGATAATGGAGAAATGTAATAAATATGCATTTAAAAGTGTATTTTGCTCTAGCTACCTCTCTTTGCTAATCCAGTAAACGCTTAGAAGATCTCAAAGAAAGTTATGAGGAGAAGCTGGAAAGTAAATTTGAAATGTATAAGGAAGCCATAAAGAAGCATGCATATATGTGTGCAATGGAGCAAATTGAGGAGCACTATGTTCCAGTGGAAGAGTTCATAGCTGAACAAGCAAAAGTTGAGGTACATTTTGCCTTAAAATTGCCATGTTACTGGCATTGTTTCTAAGACATCATTGGAAATTGTTTTACAAGGTAGAACTGGCAAATCTGAAATCCAAAAAGTATTTCAGGTGTTGTGGGAGAGGGAGAGTAGCAACCTTGGTTACTTGGGATATGTTGCTCCAGTTAAAATGCTCATGTTAGAAGGTTATTAATTGTGTTCCATCAAGTAGATTCTGATTTATAGAGACCCTTTTCAGGATTTTCCATGTAGAGAACTGTTGCAATCCCCTATGAGGTCCCGATCCCCCTAGGCCTTCACGAGGTCCTCACTATTCTTTCTGTTTCGCTGCCACCAGATATTAATGCTTTAATATCAATTAAGTATTGAGACGCGTGTGCTGTCAGACCTAAGTCTTTTATTTAATCAGGGAAGTTAATAATCACTAAATATTCTTGAGGTAAATTACAGGTTGCAAGTCACTTATATTTGAATTAGTTAGGATATTACTTCAAAAATCTTTTAACCCTCTGCTTCAATCTACACTATTACAGTTCTCTAACTCACTCTTTGTCCGCTTTTAAGCCACACACAGTCTCAGTCTCAGTCTCTCTCTCTCTCTCTCTCTCTCTCAGACCCCATCCACCAATCTTTTTATCCTGCTCCCTCCCCCCTGGCTTTGCCTTCCATTCACTCATTGGCTCCTGCGTCAATGTTCTGTGGTGATGGGCAGGTGAGGTCAGGGCTGTTCGCTACAAGAACATTCAGAAGTAGTTTCCCATTCCCTTTATCTGGGGGCGCCCTGGGAATGTGCAGCTTACCTGTGACTACATAGGCTGGCTGTTGTCCCAGGAAGCACGCTTGGGAACCAAACTCCCAATCTTGTTCCACAGCTAGATACCTAAGCCATTGAACTGTTGGCTAGACAGCTTAGTGAGTTAGGCATCTGGCTGCAGAGTCGGAAATTGGGAGGTCAGTTGCCTACTATGTGTTGCAGAAGAGCCAGCCTGTGTGGCGTTAGGCAAGCTGCACAGACTCAGGACAGTCTCACAAGGAGTAGTAAACTCCTTTTTAGCATACTCTACCTAGGAAACCCTGAAGAGGGCCACCATAAGTTATAATTGACCTAATAATAACATAGTTATTGTTACGTTTCTGGCGCAGAGTAAATAAAGACACTTTACCAGCTCTTCTTTGACGGGTATATTTACATGTATGTACACTTATATACAGGCAGGTCTCTACAGCACATCTAGAAGTCTTCACACAGTCCGACAGCATGCGTGGCAGAAAATCACATCAGAAGAAGAGAACATATCACAGACACAGTCCATATTTATACATAATCTTGTCTCTGTCCAGTCCAATCGGGTTCCAGGTGACCTCATCTCTGCACCTGGGCTCTTTCTGGTTTCACCTCATTGCATCAGCTTAGGATGATTCAGCTTTTCTCTCATCTGCACATAATTGCAGCTCGTTAATGAAACATATATGGGTTCAGGCCTATAAAATTCTATACCCTGACAGTTATTATTATAACGGGATACTGTGACAGCTGCCATCTGAATACGCAAGGATGTGTCACATGAACAGGAATATACCCGAGACATTACAGACTTCCAGAGCTTTCTGCGACAATGTCCTACTTTATCTCTCTGTGTATGTATTATGATACATTCCTGAGAGGCTCACTTGTCCATCCCAATGATCTTCTGACCATTTCCTTTGTTGCCCTTTACACTGGCATTGCTATCCAGAATACCTGTGTTCAGTTACCTTCCTTTCTTCCTTTAAGTTCATCCTCAGGATTCATTTTGTCCAGGAAGGCTTCAGTCTTCTGCTTCCTATAAAGCCAAGAAAATATATAGTTGAAATACTGAAGATTGAATAGGCTGAAATCTGATTGCTAGTTCCTTCTGGAGTAAGCTAATTAAATTACTTGTCATCTAACAATGGATTCAGTGGATTTACTGTAGTTAAAACAAGCAGTTGGTTTTAGTCATATCTTTGTCTTGCTGCTCTCATTCCTTCATTCACACTTTCTTCTGTTGCTTTCCTATTTCTGTTCTGGTTTATAAGCTCTTCATGACAGGCAAATGTTACACTAAAATGACCTAAGGTTAAAAAAAGAGCAGGAAAGGTTTTTTTCCTGTTCTTATCTTGGATTTCTGTTCTCAAGTAGAAGCAAAATTTAGCAAATGGAGCTGTTCTTAAGTTGGATTGTTCTTAAGTAGAGACCCCACTGTACTTATAAAGTGATGTGTATACAGTATATTTGACACAGAAACAATGTTAAATAAATACATATTTTTTTAAAAAAATACAGATTAATATATTAAGAATTTCAAACCTTTCTCAAAATTTTATAAAAACTAAGGAGTTCTTTCTTTGAGCTATTCATTTTATGCAAAAAATAAGCTCTAGAGAGTAAGGCATATAGCACAACATACAGTGGTGTGTTTTTTTGTTTTTGTTTTATAAAGTGCTTCAGACTTCTTAAGGAATTAGGTCTTAAATGTGGTTTAACAGTTGCTTGAAGAGGTCTTGGAAGAAGAAAAGCTAAGTTAAAATAACACTAATAATTCTGAAAGGGCTTCTAGTACAATAAGAAAAATGTGCCTTTTATGTAAAATGTAAACTGATATAACATATTCTGTTGTTCAGGATAGAGAAATGAAAATAATCCAATTGAAACAAAAACTTGGAGAACAAAATGGTTTGCTTCCAGAAAGTCCTAATTCAAACTCAACAGAAGAAAACATTAACCGAGGTAGGAAACTAATCCTATGCTCCTGAACCCAGGAACAAATGTTACTTTTTTGCAACATTAACAAGGATTAAGTTCTAATTATACAGTTAACATCTGTTTCAAGGTAGAGTTTAACTATTGTCTAGAATACTGTTCAGACTTTTTTTGTTTGTTTTACACAGATATCAAGTGTAGGGCAGTGCAGAGGGCATCAGATGCTTTGCAGAGACAGTGTGAAGAAAAAGATGAGGTAACTATCAAAATCCTAGCTTGTGTTGAAAGGCTCCCAGTGGCTCTTGGTCTCTTAGATGATTGTCAAGACTGTGATGTGGCGGCCCTAGGTGAGAAACAAGCAAGGATGTTGGCAGGTCTTTGGGTCCACGTCCCAAGTCCGGCTCTGAGTCTTTAGTCCCAAGTCTGAATCCAGTCTTTGGCATCAAGTCCTGACTCCCAAAACCCAAGTCTATGTACCAATTAAAAATAAGCTCCCCCCCCCAAAAAAGGAGGGGTGGGTCCATTCTGAGTCATGAGTCAAGTCTGATTCATTGAAAACAAACAAACAAAAAACAAGTCAAGTCACTGGTGAAACTTAAGTCTGACTTGACAGCGATTCCCACAGCTCAAGTCCCATCCCTGGAATCAAGAACATGCACATGTGTAGAACGCTGTATCCAACAATAGTAGTTACATGGAAAGCTGACTGATTGAAAAACCACCTCTGGGATTGTAGAGAAAGGAGAACATGTTCTCATGAAACCTTCTGCCTGGGTTCAAGGGAAGTACAAAATGGTTATATGAGAGACAATGAAGGAAAGTTGGTGGGCTTTTGAGGTACTGCCCCAGTAACTTCACAATCCAATGTTTCAAATCCATAAATTCTTCCAAAAGAAATAAAGCCTTAGTTCATTGAAGCCTGCAATTAATAGTTATTTACCATAATGCCAATGCTCATAAATATTGTAATTGTAACTTGTTTTTTCAGTTAATGAGATCACTGAAGCTGAAAATACTGAAATTAAATGAAATGTTGCAAGATGCCAATGAAGCCTGCAGAAAATCAGTAGAAGAGAATAATAGACTGAAACAGGTGGTAAATCTTAAGGTTGGTCACGTGTCTAATAAATCTGTATCTAGGCTACCTATATCTCTTCTCTTTGCTATTTGTGATTCTCTGTTTCACTCTATTCCATTTTCTATCACTACCCCATCTAAAATGTGAAATTAACTACATATTAATTAAGATAACATATTATTAAGACAACAGAATAAGATTAACCCCCCAAAAAGCCAAGTCCATGATCTTTATCCTGTACAAATTCATTATAGCTTCTTAAGCTGTGGCCGTAAATCAGCCTCTTGACTGATGCCTTCCAAATTTGTTGGGCTAAAACTCAAAACGCCCTGAGATGTCGCTAGAAAAATGAAGTCTCCCTTATCTCAGAAGGGAAAGTTGGGTTTTGCGTGTATGTGTGTGCATGCATACACACAACTGGAAATTAGTAAATAAGAGAGGTTCTTTGCCAAATTTATAACTTTCCTTCTATGAAGAACTACTGGTAGAACACTTACGTATCACAGTAAGTATACCATCCTTTACTTTGCTGTTACAAAGGAATATTTCATCTTGAGTATAGATTGATGACTTCAAGAGTTCAACTGAAGACTCTTTCAGAAAGAAAATCTTAAGCATTTAAATTAGGATGCTTTGGTTTAGAAGATGTCAGAAGATTAAAAACAGTATATCTCATGACTAACCTCACTTCAAATACCTTTGAATGTGTTATAGGAACAAGAAGTGAGAGATCTTCAGAATGGGGCTAAGCATGGCCATGAGCTGGAAGCCACATTGTCTCGTCTGCAAGAAGAACTAGATGAAAGCCGACGACTCTTAAACATAGAGGAGCTTAAGCATCAGAAATCAAAGAAATGCTTCTTTTCAAATTTGAAATACACAGTAGCAGATGCTTCTAAAATGCCCAGTACCAAAGAACCAGAAAAACCAGGCATCTCACCTACAGCTTTATACAGACTGACATCAGCCCATAAAATGAAATAACTTGGATTCTTTTTAAGCATATTAGAGCAGCTACTGAATTTGTCAAGGCAGTAGATGGGTGATTGACCACTGTTTTAAAATCAAGGGACAAAAGAAATGGAAACATCCTAGATGTCTCTAACTTAAAACTGAAGTGATATGCCAGCTTTTGTGTGGCAAATTAGCATGGACTCTTATTCTTTGAAGTGAAGGTAGACACTCTTCCGTTAATCTCTGCAGTAGGTACTCTTTTCTGTTTCTTAGTGCCTTATAACAGGGGAATAAGAGCACTTTTTAATACATCATTGTTTGATATGTGTTGTACTAGGTTACGTTTTGGAATTTTTTACTGTTTCAGAAATGCAGGTAATGTTCTAAACTTAAATGCTATCATCAAAAGAATGTTATTTCATTCTGTTACTGAATTTTTTCCTTTGTGAGTGGAAATAACGCAAAACAGCCATTTCTTATATTACTAATAAAAATGTTTTGTATTATTTGACAAGTGACTGCTAATAAAACTAAATGCTTATTATTTAGGGAATTAAAGTGTTACATAAGGTAAAATTTTAATGATAGGTTGACAAAGAATGTTTTAAAAGCTTTTCTTTCACGCTATGATTATCACAAGCTATTGGAAGATAATGACTAGGCCATAACCTCTTTCTTATTGTGTACACTCAATCTGAATCTGACTTTACTTCTGCTATTTTCCCAAGTTCGTACACTTGCTAAAACTGAGTTGCTATTTATATTTGAAATTTCAGTGAATTGCTTGAAAATCACATTGTGTGCAGTATGGATGAGAAAGCACCAGCCCAGTGTGTATGGATTACTTTCTGAAGAGAGTCTGTATGACCCCCATCTTCTCTTGTCAGAAAAGATGTGGAGCATAGGCATCTGATCTTCTTAGAAACCAGGGCTTTGAGATGCCTACAAGTAGTTATTGAGGAAGCCAGGTCTATATAATTCTTGCCTTTTGGAATATCAAAGCATGCATAAGCCCAGCTTTCTGTATGTAAGGCATGCCATTGTCCCCATTTACGACTGGCATATGGCCCTTGAATTATTGCTACATGAGAGTGCAACAATGATGCTGTGAAGCTAGAGCAAATAAACTTTCTATAAGGCAGTTGTAAAATTGGGGGCAGTCCATCAAAACATTATAACTTTTAAACTAGTATTCAGAACAGTAAGTACAGTTGTAGCAGACAGTTTGCTCTTGCTCTGTGCCAAGCTTGGGAAAGTACAGGCAAAGGTTTTTTTGAATTATGATTTTTTAAAAGTAAAACTATTAACCCCCCTTTCAGAAATAGGTGACCTTAGATGTTCCCAGATTTAAAATAACTCACATAAATTGAGAAGACCAATCTTGCTTGGAAAATATGGGTGATCATCAACAGGTGTGATGAAACCTTTGCTTGGGGGGGGGGGAACCAATTGATAGGGCTTATTTATCCATGTCATTAATCATACTTATGGGTGAACTGTCTTGAACTCTTAAACTCATTGTTCGTGTCTATGGAGAGGAGTGGCTTTGACTTTGAATTCAGATCCTGGATTTTGCAGATTCAGAGGATGGAGGTCTTATCTTTCTTCCCATCTGCATTAAGACCCTTCTTTTTGATGAAGCATGGTGCCAGCTAAATTTGATCATTGATGCTGCTCATTTGAAGCTGAGATGCTGTCAGTGTTTTAAGACACAAGGAGATGATTCATAAATTCTGGTATTAAGGAGGCTATGAAAATAGTTGACATATTTGCTGCTCCATTCATCTTGACACAGAACAAGCAACAAATCAGCAAATAGTGAAAGGTGGAGGGGTTCAGTTTAATCCATAAAACACAGCCAAGTAGATGCCCTAATTTAAGTCATTTCACTTCCTTTCTCAAGGTTCAAGAAAATCCCCAGTAAGCATCATTTTGCTATAAAAAGACCCATACTACACAAACCTGAAGGTGATTTAAAACCAGGTTTTGCAGCAAGTATCTACACTTCTCTCTCAGCCTTGTATCTAAATATGGATGTGCTGTGCTCCACTGTTGAACAGGAAAGAACACTGGCCCTGAACAGCGTAAGAAGGGAATCGGGCTGAGACTTACTTTTCAATACAGCGGCCTGCATTGAACACCATTCAAATAACTTTGTTCATAAAAGCAATAAAGATCAATAAAGAAAACAGGATCCAAGATGGGATAAGGAAGCTATGTAATGAGAGGGGGGGAAAGCCTGCCAGAAGAACCAAGTCTTCAAATTGTTTTTAAAAATTCCCAGTGAAGGTCCCAGTCAGATCTCCAGGGGTAAGGTGTTCCAAGATGGGGGGCCACAGCCAAGAAGGCCCGGTTCAATGTTGGCGGAACGGATCACAGATGCCACCTGGGATTCCACGGTAAGCTGGGTCAAGATGGACCCCCAAGCTGCGGACCACATTCTTTGTGCTGAGAGCTGCTGCCCCAAAAGAGAGCGAGCTTCCCAAACCACTGATAGATGGGGTGCCCACCCTCAGGACCTGTCTTGTCTGGGTTCAACCTCAGTCCAGTCTCCTGTATCCATTGCTGTCCAGCCCCCAGGCTCAATGGACGCAACAGCATCCACTGCTGTTGGAAAAAAGGAGATGTAAAGCTACATGTCATCAGCATGCTGGTGATACAAAGCACCACACCCCCTGATGACCCCACCTGGCGGCCTCATATAGACATTAAACAGTACTCGAGAAATGATCAATCCCTGCGGCACCCCACAAATGAGGAGCCACAGGACCAATACATTCTCTCCAAGCTGGACTTTCTGGGAACGGTCCTCCGAGAAGGATTGGAGCCAAGTAAGAGCTAGGCCACCAATCCCCAACTCAGAAAGCCTCCCCAGGAGGATACCGAGAGAAACGTAACTAACAGGAATCCAACCTTCGTGTTAACAACTTAGAAGACAATTAAATCTTGCATGATTCAACATTTCAAGAGTGCTTATTTATTAAAATCAAGGTGAAACTGAAATAAGTATTTACATAATGAAGATCTGGTTACAGTCTGCAAACTGGATCTCTTCATTTAAAAACAGGAAATGGCATGTGTACAACAATAATATTGGTTTCTGCAGCTGAGCATAAACATTGTGATCTTCTATAGAACTTTAAAATTTAGAAAACCCCTTCATAACATTTTTTCAGTTCTTAGAGGAAAATAAAACAATAGAGATAGGCTAAGGCACTGAGTATTCTGGTGTTCTGTCATCCAATTCACAGCTTGATATGTCTCTTACTGGAACTGATTACAAGCCAGATTTTCAAGTACATTTTCCCTTCAACCTATGTAATATATGCAAGAATAGTTGTACCATTGCTGTGCTTTTTACATTGAACACCATATTAGAGATATGGGAATCTGCTACATAGCCAAGGATGAGAACACCAATGGATAGTACCTGTACATTCAGAAAGCACTGCTGAAGACCATACTAAAATGAAACCATCCTTTTCGACATTAGTTAACCACAGCATGTTTAATTATGTGTTTGAAACTGCTGCCTCCAAAAGGACAACCTTCAACAGAAAAGATTTTATTAAGACTATTAATACTTTAGTAAATGTTATCAATTTACTATTTTAAAAAATCTAAACCATGTAGAGATTTTTGTAGATTCATTGATTCCTGATATATATAGTTTTTCAAGGGCCCTAAGTGTAGAATCCAAAATTCATATACATTCATGCACAGATATATATGGATATAGGATTCTACATGTAAAATCTTTGAATGATAAACTGCTTTGGCATACAAAAAGGAAGGGATGAAATGTGTGACACATGACTTCACACCTGAATTACCTACTGAAAATAGGACATTATTTTTTCTAGTGCCCATTTACCACACTACATCAACATTACAATGAAACACCACATTACCTTCTTTAATCTTAACACTAAAATCAATGCAACAGCAGCCATTTAAAGTTTACCTTCCCCCCCCCCAAAAAAATCCACCCTACATTTAGCAGGAGTAAAGGAAAGAACTTTCTGGAAGCTGAAGACCAAACTAGATGTTACAAGAGATATAGGCATACAGGTTGCCACTTTGAGGAGGTTGGGGGAGTGGTTAAACTTACCCTCCTTTGTTTGTGGCCCCATACATTCTATTCTGCATATCTGCAAGCATCTAAGAAAGGGGAATTTAGAGTGAAGAAATAGTGGAGAAAGAAAAAGATTATTCACTCTTTGCTCCCTATTATGACCTCAGCTAGTTTTCAGATAATCTTTAAACAGAACAAAGACTAACATGGGTTGTTCTTGCATCTCCTGTACAACATCTAGTTTGGCTCCATAACAAGCTGTTTTCAGGATGCATAATGTTCTTGGCCACTTGCTGTTAAGTTCCAATTATGTCATGAACTTTTGTGTCTCTTCATTACAGTTGCAGCTCTGTCTTTCTATATCTGTTTGCATAGGGATGGCTTCTCTTTTTGATCTTTCAGTGATGCATCAACATTTGTTTTATTGAGAAGTTTATTTAAGCAAAATACAAAGAAAGCATCATCAGTAGAAGACTTTAAACCTTAAGCAGGCTGTTGATATTTTGCATTGTCTACTTGAGCTGCAGGCTTCTGTTCAGGAAGTGCAAGAGATACAGATGTCCCAGTGCATAAATGTAACTGGCTGAACCACATTGTCCTATTACGAGGTTTACACCAATCAGAGGAAGGCAGAGCAGTTCCTTCTTTCTCTAAGGCTGCTGCTGGTATTGTCCTTCTGTCGCTGTGTAGAAATCATCAAGGACACTTTGCAAATATTCAAATGTTGGTCTCTCTTCTGCTTTATCTTTCCAGCATGTTTTCATGATATCATAGAGCTCAATTGGGCAGGCTTCCATCCTTGGCATGCGATACCCACGCTGAAGAGCTACCATTACATCAGAATTACTCATACCTGTAAACAATACAAGCAAAACACCTTTCAGTCTGGTTTATTCAGCTGTGTCAAAGCTGAGCTTAGCTATAGAGTGACCACAAAAGATTCTAGAAGTTGCAGTCTAAAAAAGTAAGTTTTCCAAGCTCTGAGTAACAGCAAATTCATTTGACTTTGCAAGGGATGAGCATGCATATGCACATGGATGGGGTGTAGGTTGTTGTTCACCAACTAAAGTTTTGTATTTCCAACACCCATGCACACCTAGTTCTTACACTGAGCAATTTTCTTTTCAGTCTGCAGATAAATCAGTAACAGAACATTTAGATCCCTTATTCCTTAACAAGAGAAGGAAAGAAGATTCAATAAATACCTTTGGAAAATTCATAGTCATGCTCCCTATTTAAACCAGCCTGCTATTAGACAGGTGTAATAACTGAACATAATTCAAGCAGCTCAACCTAAAGCAATGGTTGTCTGAGATTGCTCCTCTGCCTGATTATGTGTACACAAAGGAAGCCAAAAATTAATAATTTCCCACTGATGGAAGCCAAAGAACCAATCTTGAAAGCTGAGGGCAGTGGCTATGTTTTCAGATTATCAGTACCTGTGCACTATCTACTTAACATGCCTACAAACACATTAAAAGACAACATACAGTATGCCTCCCATTCCTACTTCCCATGTGAAAACTACCCAGGCATTTTATGCCTAGCTCTGAAAAATAGGCACGCTAAACAACAGATATATTGTTCTTCATTCTGCAAAGGTTATTTTAGCCTATTAGGCAAGTTCACTTAGTCATTTGTTACTATCTCTAACTCTTCAAGAAAAGCTCATTTTAGAAGAAGGTCAGTGCATTTCAAGGCCAGTGTGGTCTGTAGACAATTTCATCTCAGGTCAGTTCAATTTTTCACTAAAGCTCAGAGCCAACCTTCTCTATTCTATCTCCAGTGTTTTCTTCAACTGTAAGATCTGGCACTGACACAACCCCTGTCCTCCCCAGTGCTTACTTTCAGTTTCCTTCCCAGATATGATACAGCAAACCCATCTTCTTCTTCTTCCTCTTTTTTTAAAGTAAAGAATATAAGTGAGCAGAATACTGTTGGTGCTGCCTAACAAGTCTCTCATATTGTACAAGCAGGACAGAGGCCAATATATTCATTCATTCATTCATTCATTCATTCATTCATTCATTCATTCGTCAAAAAGAAAATAACATCCTGAATAACTTGTAGGGGAGTGTCGGTGATGACTTTAAAGATATGCAGACACTCAGTCTATGGAGCCAACTTTGTGTTTGTGTGCTTCTCTGTGCATATATGTGCATTCCTGTAAGTGAAGAGCAGGTGTCAGAAAAGCAAGAGGTACATCAATGTTCCTCTTGTATTTTTCAAAGTCCCACTGTAACCAGCTTTCTACATGAAGAGTCTGAAGAGGAGAATTTAACAGATGGGCAAAGACATAGACAGTGGCAATTCTTTAGAAACCCAGATGTAGCGTTCATCCTGCTCATGGATATTTATGTTGAAATGTGCATGCACCAATAGGAGTTGGTGGGGGCGGAGTTAAGTGGGGGGAAAGAAAAAGGAGAGAGAGGGAGAGTAGGTGGTTGGGAGAGGAGAAAGGAGGTTGTTTAGTTGAGAGTTGATGACATTGATTTGTAACAATAAACAATTTCTACTTGGTTCTTAAATGATACATCACCTGGACCTCTGTCATTAATAGTGAACAAAGTTGATGTAATCAACTGGTGGCAGCTGAACAACACATAGTGTGTGCCTTTGCTTGGTGAAACAACCAAGGGCCACGCGGGAACATGACACCAGGTTTCAAAACATTTAGGGCTTTACACATTTAGAACCAGTTTTCAATTGGTCCTCAAAACTAACTAGGAGCAAGTGTTGCTCTTCCAAAACTGACAAGAATTTCAAAGCAATGTATCCCAACGAACAGCTTGAAAGCATGCTCTGAATCATTTGAGTTTTCTGGGGAGTTTTCAAAGATAATCAAGTACAGTACAGCACATTACATCAGTCATTCCAATTCAACCCCCCCCCCAAATTTTGGGCTAACCATCTCTGTTTGGGAAGGACAGCAACTGGTGTAGTAAGGTGGTAAAATTTCATTAGTTACTTCTCAAAATTGACTGTGTGTTACAGTTCTTACTTCCTCTATACATGGATAGCAAAGTTATCCATATATAGAAGTGGGCCATGTAGCCATATGCAAAGAATCTGTATCAGAGATGAAGAAAGTAACTTTTTTGGATGACAATTCCCTGAATACCCAAGGCAACATGGCCAGTGGCTAGAGCCTAGCATTTCCCTCTATTATGCCAATGTCTTTGACTGAAAAACAGCAACATTTAATGTCTGTTATGAACTAGTTTTGCTACCTGTCTAAATAGAGTGCTGGTAAATCATAAGGCATTTTAAAAGTATACATACCTGGATAAGGGATTTTCCCATATGTAATGATTTCATACAGAAGAATTCCAAAAGACCATACATCTGATTTAATAGTGAAGGAACCATAGTTAATGGCTTCTGGTGCTGTCCATTTGATGGGGAATTTGGCACCTGTAGGGGAGGGAAGCATATTCTTTTCATCCTATAGCTGGGTTGTATATATGTAGCCAATTAAAACTAATCATGCATAGCTGAGCAACTGGAAAGGATTCAGAGGAAAACTATGGCAGTAGCTTGGGAGCAAAAGATGACAGCCTGCTTCACAGGACTGCCATACCAGGTGGCTGCTTCTGAAAAATGTTGGGGAATAGTTAGAGGATAGAGCAGCACATGGCATGTCCTGAATATGCTCAACCCATTCTCAGGTGCAAATAAATGATGCTGTCCCCTCTCCAGTATAAGGTTCAGTTCTATGTGGGAAAGCATTCTCTTTTCATTCAGTACAAAAGACTTGCTTTTTCATCCCACCCAGAACAAGCACAAACCACCTCTAAGCTGCCAACACTACCTCATTCCTCCCGTAATTGCTTCTGGTCTAACGGGGGGGGGGGGGGGGGGCGGGATTCAGTTGTATGTACAGATCCTTCATTCACAGTATATCCAAATAAAGGTCAAACTAGATATTAAAGAGAATGCCTATTTTATTTGGATAACAAGTTTTCCCACTAACAGTGGGATTTGCTTAGATACATGCCTCAGCAATCAAGTCTGCATATTAAGCCCATGTTTTCTTTCACTTACTAATCACAGAACAAAGCATGCTAAATGCAAGAAGATACCTGGCTAAGGAAAATCATATGACATGAAATACATCTTTCACCACTTGGGGGAGTGTTCATACCAAAAACATGACCATACTACCTAATTTAACCCACAGTCATGTGTGAATGCATATTACACATATTGTCTAATTTGACCCTGGAGGCTATTAACAGAATTTTTGTCCTGGAGGTTAAAATTATCAAAAAGATACAAACCTTCCCTGGCTGTATATTCATTATCTTCAATTACTCTAGCAAGTCCAAAATCAGCAATTTTGCACATAAGTGAGTCTGAAACTAGAACATTAGCTGCTCTCAGATCTCGATGTATGTAGTTTTTTCGCTCTATGTATGCCATCCCTTCTGCAATCTGCAACAACAAATGAACAGTCTTAATTTGTGTACTGTTTTTCTTCATCACTTCATGTTCACACAAATATTTTTCACCAATGAATAAAGTTTCTGGTGCATTACTTTCCACGTTTATGTGCTGTCTCTATGGTTATGCATATCATAGCTAACATATTTCTCACATCAAACATTATTGCTTGATGACAGGTTGACATACTATGTAGAGTCAAAGCATTCATGGATCTGTGCAAATTCACATTGAAACCCCCCATCTTCTCCTTTTGCCAAAAAGAACAAAAACATCAATTACAGAGAGAAGGAGCTGGAATACAAAGTGTGGCAACTTTGGGCACGGATATAAACAGAGCAACACACTGAAAAAAAATCTTCCCAATTTTTTTCAAAGGGCTAAATAGAAACAATATAGAAACTGTAAGATATTACAGTATTAAATCACACTTCAGTCAGTCAATGAGACATTAAACATGGTTAACTTTAACACATAGGCTGAAATCCTACTGCTTGGTGTAGAGTTAGGTCCATTGAGATTGGTGGGAATTTGGTGAGACAACTCCTCCGTAGGTTCCATGGATTCAACTGATCTGCTCTAGTGGAAACTTTCTATACTAAGCAACATGATTTCAGCAATAGATTCCAATGGAATGTGACTAACAGGCTAGATCTAACCTAATGGGTGCACTAAGGTCCTGGAGTGGGAAAATCAGGAAAATTGGAGCCAATATAATATTATACGAGGCAAAGTTTATAAGCTGGAAGACAAAGTGTGAATCAAGATGAAGGGAAACAAAAAGGGGGAAATTGTAGAGAACGAATTATGAGGCAAATGGTATGGGGAGGGGATGATAAATGGATATAGGCAGAGTTAAGCTCTGAAAGAGTCATTAAAATTTTATATGTCAAAATTGTAAAGCAATGCAAGAAAATTAGACAAATCACATTTCTATTCCATCCTACCTCAAAGCAGCTAAGGTACTGTACACTAAATCTCACAATATCCTTTTGCAAACAGATGGGCAATTTGGAAGCTTTCGGAGTAAGGATGTGGAATAAATAAATCTCTCAGAAATGAAGAGCATATAATGTTTTGGTTAAAACAATATCTCTAGAGCTTAAGACTCTAAACATTTTTATTATTATTTTTCAAACACATACACAATAAAATGAACAATGTGACATTCATAACTTAGTTGGATTTCACTTACTCTTTGTAACACGTTAGAATACACAACATGAAAAAGCCATTAGGAAACCTGGTCATATTGACAACCTATGGCACAAGCTTAAGAAAACACCAGTGTGCTCCTGTCAAAGAAGAAGCTTTGCTTTAAAGCCTCCCCTTTAAATTTAATGAATACAGTAACATTGTTAATGCTGACTAAAAGCATGCAGAATGGACACAACCACTGCTAGGTTTTCAAGACTTGTATGAGGGAAATATCTTGTTCATCCTGCAGCACTGTTCTAAGTAACCTGCATTCCAAGCAACCCATGAACATAAAAGAAAATGTTTATTTAATGATGGACATGTGTAAATGCTAACAATAACTATGTCTGAAATGGAAATAACCTTTTTATAAAAGCTTTCCACTCATCAGGGGCAAGTGGGTATAGTAAAAAAAAAAAGGCATGTGTTCTCAATCTCTTCCACAAATACAATTTTCATATTAGTTTTACAATTCAACTTTTTCCTTTTTTCAATTTTTTCTAACATTTAAAGTGTTCTGCACAAACATAATACTGGACCATAATTGGCCAAAAATAAAAACAAATAGGATATTATTTCAGATGAAGTCTGTGTTCTTAGGCATTCACACACAC